GCCCGGCACTCCGACTTCGCTGATCGAGGCGATGGAGGGCGACCAGAGGCAGCTGGCGGCACAGAGCGCGGCACTCTTCGAGGACGGGCCCCGGCGGGCCGAACAGATTCGCGCAGCGGCGAATCGGGCGTTCTTCGAGCTGGACAGCGACGACGCCGTGAGGAGGGCCACGATCGGGCGAGTCCGACCGCCACGAGGGCCATTTGTGCCGGGCCAGCTGGTGTTCTACTGGCGTGAGGTGAAGCACGTGAAGTCCAAGAGGCTCCAGGGCGAGCTGGGATGGCGTGGCCCAGCCATTGTGCTGGCGACGGAGGGCCACACGAGACTGCACCTGAGTTACCGAGGGGTGCCGGTGCTCGTGACGCCCGAGCAGGTGCGGCATGCATCACGCGACGAGGCGGAGATGGTGGAGAACGAGGACCTGGTCAGGCAGCTCTCGCAGTGGCGCGGAGGACCTACTCTTCAGAAGGGATTTATTGACGAACGTGGTCCTGGGCCTGAAGGAAGCCAACAGACAGGCACACGACGCGAGAGGAGCAACGACGACTCGGACGACGAGGACGTTGGAGACGACCCGCCAATGACGAAGGTACCTCGCACCGAGCCGGTCCCACCAGCTCCGAGACCGCCACCAGTGGAGGCGACTCCCAAAAGGGAACGAGTGATAGAGGAAGCACCTGGAGCTTAACCTGGAGGGCTACCAGAAGTACCACCACTACCCGGCGACGGGCCGGGACTCCAATCACACGGACCAGCATACGACCCACCTGCACCTGATGCAGCTGGGCAGGGGCACTCTACGGACCTGGACGCAGCTGCTGTGCCAGGTAATCCGCATCATGAACCTGAGCGAGCCGAACAGCCAGGACAGCCAGAACCCGCACCACCGAAGGGATTCAAGAGGCCACTTCCTGATGACCGGCTGCAAGACAAGGAACGTCTTCGACTACGACGCGAAGCTCTCAAGGAGGCTGCTATGCGTTTGCCGCGGATTCCTGACGATCCCAGCGACCTACCGATGGGGGACGACAGCGCACTCTACGTCAAGGTGAGCCGCGCGGTGGAGAACCGCACGAGGGATGCATTCCTGGCAAGGAGGACCGATACAGCCAAGAAGCAGGTTGCACCTAAGAAAGGTCGAGAACTACGCAGCATCCCGGCAGAATGGAAGGAAGCATTCGACGCGAGCGACCTGGACGAGTGGCGCAAGTGGATCCAGTACGACGCCGTGGAGTGGCCGACGGAGAAGGAGCTCGCAGGGGTCGAGAAGACGGACGTCCTGCCGATGCGGCGCGTCCGGACGGACAGGAACGAGCCGACGAGGGGCAGCCTCTCGTACGAGCAGCACCCGCTGAAGGCGAAGTCGAGGAACATCGTCCCCGGGTACAAGGACAAGCAGCTGCTCGCCGGCGAGTTGCAGACGAACGCGACCACGCTCACGGACACGGCCACGGCGGTGATTCTCCAGGAGGCGGCCAGCCAGGAGGGCTGGACTCTGGAGCAGGGCGACGTCGACTCGGCGTTCCTGAATGGGAAGTACCTCGACAGCTCACGACGTGTTTATTTTCGAGCTTCCAAGGGCGGTCTACCGGCAGTCCCGGAGATGGGCTGGCCGTTCGTGCCCGAGGGAACCATCCTGAAAGCGAAGAAGGGGATCTACGGGCTGAACGATGCACCTTTACTGCGGTACGAGGAGCACCGCGACACCATCCTGTCATTGCCCGGGGCTTCGAGATCCAAGCTGTGCCCGGCTCTCTTCATCTTCCACGACGAGAACGGGAAGCTGATCGGCCTCATCGGGACCCACGTGGATGACGACTTGGTCGCGGGTTCGCCCGAGTTCTTCGCGAATCAGGTGGCAACGCTGAGGAAGATGCACTGCTACGGCAAGTGGCAGTCTGCGCGGACAGGGTTTCACCACTGCGGGCGCTTCCTCAAGCAGAACGACGACGGCACCATCAAGTGCAGCCAGAGGGAGTACACGGAGAGCATCGGGAAGATTCCTATTTCGGCCGAGCGCCGGAGGAACAAGGAAGCGAAGGCCACGGCTGAGGAGAGAGCGTTGCTCCACAGCGGCAACGGCCAGATCCAGTGGCTGGTGCGCTCTACGCGTATGGACTTGGCGTTTCGTCTGGTGGAGAGTCAGACGAGGGCTCACGACAGCGACCTGAAGGTGCAGGACTTGCTCGACTTCAACAAGCTGGTGAGCGACGCCAAGACAGACCATGTGGACATCACTTTCCAGAAGATCAACATGGACGATGCGATCGTGGTGGCCATCGGGGACTCAAGTCACGGCAACGTGGGCAAGACGAAGACGGCGAGCCAGGCCGGACTGGTCATCCTGCTAGCAGACAACAAGGACAACAAGTTCTTGCGCGGGATGCCTACCAAGATCACCCCTATGCTGTGGCGCTCACACCGCATTAAACGTGCGGTGCGCAGTACCCTTTCGGCCGAGACGATGGCAGCTTTGGAGGCGGTCGAGAGTGGCGACATGCTGAGGCAGCACCTGGTGGAGCTACACTACGGACTGGGTTACCGGACCCACATGGAGGACGTCAAGGCGATTACCATGGTGGAGGTCACGGATTGCAAGTCTCTCTACGACCTGCTGCAGAAGCGCGGCACGGTTCCCTCCGAGAAACGGCTGCTCATCGACATCGAGGCGCTCAGGAACGACATCGAGTTTAACAACGTGGTGAGCAAGTGGGTGAACACCAAGCAGATGCTCGCCGACTGCCTCACCAAGCACGACGTGCGCGCTGGCGACTACATGAGGTACGTGCTGCAGACGGGCGAGTACCGGCTGACCGAGGACCTCATGGCGGACCAGGTTATCCATAAGCAACGGACGGAGCTCAAGGGACGCAGGGGGGAGTACTACCGCACGAAGTACCCCAAGCGACAGCGACCTGCCGATCAACCTTTCGTGCACGAGGGCTACACGTACTTCGAGGACTGCATCGCAGACGTGAGGTACAATGCGAAGGTCGTCCAACCTGCTCCGAAGCCATACCTACGTTGGCGGATGACGCTGGGCCAGCGCGAGAACGATATCTACTACGAGAAGCTCGAGGAGATGGTCGACTGGTCCGGCCTGGACCAGGTGGTGAAGCGTCGGACGATCCCGACGCACGTGCGTAAGTTGTTGACGATCTACGCACCGACCAAGGGAGCCCTCGAGCGCTACGAGAAGGACTTTGCAGAGAAGCACACCATCAAGAAGCCAGATGCGACTGAGGATCCAGAGGACAAGGAGGAGTTGAATGTCACATCGGAGATGGAGATGCATGTGGAGTCAGACGTGAATGCCAAGCTGGATTGCACCGACGACACGAAGGAGATCTACATGATGGACGCGACGGGGGCCGACGCTGAGGAGATCAGGGCAAGCCCACAGGGAGGTGCAGCTGCGGCGTGGACTACCATGGTAGTGTGTACTGTGTGTCGCATGACGGTGTCGCAGTGCGAGTGCGGGCCGAGGACACGGAAGAAGCCACACAAGGACAAGGCCGAAGACAAGAAGGTCCCCAGCGACATAGACGACGGCAGCTGGCAAGAAGTCCCGAGTGTACGCGCCACATCGGCGACACCGCCGACGCCATCTAAGAAACTTATGCAGAAGGCATACCGCCTACACGAGAAGACCGGACACGCTCCCTACGAGAAGATCGAGAGTGACTTCGGAGACGTGCTGGAGGACGGAGTTCTAGAGGCGTATCGTATGGTGATCGACGAATGTGCAGTGTGTCGGAAGGCAACCCAGGAAGCTGGCAAAACCAAGTACACCAAGAAGTCAAGTCCGACGAACACGAAGTACAGGACGAAGGACCAAAGCAAGTATATCGACCCCGACCTGTGCGAGCACCCGACGGACAAGCGAACGAGAGCAGGGACCAACCAGTACAAGGAGAAGATCAAGTGCACTGAGTGCGGGACCCTACTCGTGGACCGCGACACGCCATGGTGGAGCGAGGAGAAAGTGCTTCGGGCGCAGGCCAAGGCGGCGAAGGCACAGATGGAGAGACAGGCGTATGTGCGGGGAGATACGGGCTCGAGTTCTTCCAAGAAGTAGTTTGTGTTTGGTTATATACATATTTCATGAAGTTGGATTTCGTAGACGACACTATGGATTCTTTCATATACGACGGCTTCGCCGATTACCTTGACTTCATAGAGTACTGAGTTTTGCGAGTTTGCCCGGCGCTCGAACGAGAGGCAAGCTTAGCTAGAGAAAATAGTATGAATGTGATTTCTGGGGGAAAGACCCAGGATATGTATCTAGCACGCTTGTGTACATGTGCGTATCAAGCGCCGGCGCTTGGGCTCGAGAGAAAGGCGCTTCCCTTCTCCCACTGCAGAAGCGACGGGTCGAGGGAGCGATAGCGGCTTGGAGCTATTCGATCGAGTTCTCTTTCGAGATTCCCGCCGACGGTATCGACACGCTCGAGCGGGAGAGTTTCGACCAGAAACGAGGCCTGACATACTGGTGCACTGGCAATGGTGGAAGCTGAAATCACCTTGGCCCGCCGACGCAGGCCGCTCTGAATAAATGCGTCGGCAAGCTCAGAAATCTTCTGAGCCAGAACGGCTGAGGAGGAGGAGGAGGAGGTGGTGGAGGAGATGGAGGCGGAGGAGGGGGAGGAGGGGCAGGAGGAGGAGGAGGAGGAGGAGTACAGTCAGCCAGAATAATAAGGACGCGCGGTAAGGATGCAAGGGGCTTGGAACGCCATGTTGACTTTCGCTGGCCAGCGAACGTTGTTAAGGATTGGCCGAGGGGGCAAGGATGCAAGGGTACCCTTGCCAAGTTGCCCCATCCTTACTATCATGGTTGACTGTAGGAGAAGGGAGGAGGAGGAGGAGGAGGAGGAGGAGGAGGAGGTGGAGGAGGAGGAGGAGGAGTTGTCCCAAATCTATTGCACCACCCCCTTTCAGCTGGACCCTTTCTTGGGGTCAACCCGAGCGAGGGGGCCGAAGGCAGCGGCGTCCGAGCGGGCGGGAGGGGGGTGGGGTCCTCAGAGAGACGCCTGGCCCTCTGCGGCCTCGGGAGCGCAGCACCACATTGAGCGTGTGCATGGTCAAGTCGTGGGTCCACGGGTTGGCGACCTTCGCGACAAAACGAGCCCGTTTCTTAATTTTCCGCGATAATGGGCATTACGGGGGGGGGAGGGGCCAGAGGGGGGGGGGACTATGTAACACCTCCCCCCTGCCGTGCGCACGGCGGCAATGCTCGGAGCGCACTGGGGGAGGGGAGGGGCGTTCCGTTGTAGGGGGTGGTGGAGGGGGGGCCAGGGGCTATAATGCTCACTATGCCTCAAACAATAAAGAAATACGCTCAGGCACCGCCGGGGGCACACGGGAGCAGCAACATGTCGCAGCATCCGGGACCACGCGCGTGCACTGCACCGTGTCGTGCGTTTGTCGGGCGAAGATGCTGCGCCTCGCTCGATTGCGTGTGATAAAGCCTGGCTCGACTCAAATTGCTTACACGCGTAGCCCTGGAGCGTACGACGCGCTGATGTGGAGGAACATGCTGGCCCTTCGTCTCCTCGAATCGAATCGGGTGGCCACGTCAGACTGCATCATCCCAGTGTCAACAGCTCTCAACAGAGTGCCCACGCAGAGACACGAGCGGCGAATGAATCCCATGTCCACGCCCTTGCGGTCTGGATCCCAAGACGCGATCCTGTATACGCGAGGTCGCATGGATATCTTCCGCGTGGGGCATCCAGAAACAACACTATCCACGGGGTTCCGGCCCGAGGGCCCTGCCCGCGAGGGCGTGGATATTGATATGTTTCCCGCCCACGACAGGGGCGACTGGCAAAGCTCGACCCCTTCCCTATCCCTCATGTTGCATTCTCGGGGGACCTTGTCTGTCCCGTCGCGGCCCGTTCAACGTCGAATCCGTGTCGAATCCATGTCGGACTCGTGAGATCCGTGTCGGATCCGTGTCGACTCCGCGACTTATCCACGCCACATCCGCGTTGAGTCCGCATCGAGCCCGCTTCGGGCACAAGAGAAGAAATCAATTTCGGGGTCAGGCAAGGTCCCCCGAAGATGCAATGTAATGGTAGGTAACGGAGCCCAATATCACAGCCTCGCCAATTCTGACCTGGTAATCAACGCAATCCACGGGACCACACCTGCAAGTTCAATCTGAAACAAACGAGGTTCAAAACCATGCGAAAGCCAGAAGACCAAGACACACGTGGCATGACACTAGGACCCCGAGACATCTTGCCCGCCGCCATCGGGGGGGGGAGGATAAACCTTCAGTCCAGAAACCTGATCGGACAAGAACGGGAAGCGTCGCTTTTGTCCACTAGTAGAAGTATGCCCTTTTGTTGGTCTGCCGCGCAGATATGCCGTGGCGTGCGTGCGTTTGCACGTGCGCGCGCGTGCAACATGTGCATGTGTGTCCGTGCGTGGTGGTCTGCGGCGCTGCTGTGTTCTGCCGTGCTGCTGTGCCGTGCTCCTGCGGTCTGCGTGAACGTGTGTTGCCTCTCTGTGTGTGCGTGTGCGTGTGCGTGTGCCTGTGTGCGTGTGCCTGTGTGCGTGTGCCTATGTGCGTGTGCCTATGTGCGTGTGCCTGTGTGTGCGGCTGTGTGGATCGATATTCTGTGAGTTCTGCCGTTTTCGTGCGTGTTCTGCCGTGCCTTTGGGACGTCTGCCGTACTGCTGTGTACTCTGCCATGGTCCTGCTCTGCCGTGCTCCTATGTGTTCTGCCGTGCTCCTGTGTGTTCTACCGTGCTCCTGTGTGTTCTGCCGTGCGGCTGCTTGTTCTGCCCGGCTCCTGTGTGTTTTGTGTGATCTGCCGCGTTCCTATGTGTTCTGCCATGCTCCTGTGTGCTCTGCTGTGCTCCTGCGGTTTGCGTGAACGTATGTTGCCTCTGTGTGCGTGTGTGTGTGTGTCTGTGTGTGTGTGTGTGCGTGTATGTGTCTGTGTGTACGTGTGCCTGTGTGCGTATGCCTGTGTGCGTGTGCCTATGTGCACATGCCTGTGTGTGCGGCTGTGTGGATAGATGTTATGTGAGTTCTGCCGTACTCTGCCATGGTCCTGCTATGCCGTACTCCCATGTGTCGATCTACGAGAGGCGCCGCCCGAAGCAGCAGCAACGAACAACACCTGGGACTACGGCTCAGGCAACCGATGCACGGAGCCAAGGCAATCATCCGATTGCTGGCCAAAGAGGGCCTGTGCACTGGCAGAGCGTCAGTGCGAAAAGGGGCCAGGACGGCCCGACTACGTTATCCTATGGACAGCAAACAGAGAGTGCGATCTGACTCGCGCCTCGGTCGTCGCCGACCCTAGGCCAGGGGCTGCCCCGTGCCAGGGTGGAGACCCTCTACGAGGCGATCACGACGCCTCGCTCGCATTTTCTCTGCCTTGGACTTGCACAGATGCACTGCAGGCAGGTCCCCTGTGCATTCAGCGCCCAACAACTTACCCTGCTTTCGAGCATGCGCGCCGCACCGTCTGCAAACCATGAACGGCGCTCTGAGAAGGAGCTGATATCCCAAATGCTCTCCCACCTCTTGCCTGTCGCAGGACGCGGCTGGCTAGCGATCCACCGGGGCAGGGAGCTCAGGGCCGAGACGTTGACCAACGGACGCGCTGTCAGCCAAGGGGCCTGCAACACTAGCGCTAGCAGCGCTGGCAACAAGCTTGGCAGCGCGTTTCCTATCTCGCCTCGCGGGGCCTGGCTGCGCACTAGCCGATGGGGCCTCCAACGCGCTTGCGCTGGCACACATCGCTGGGGCCCCGTGCGAAAACACAGGATCAACGCTGGCCTGCACTGGGGGCCTCGGGTTTGCCTCGTCGGCCAGTGGCCTGGAGGCCGCGTGCAAAAGGCGACAGGCCAGCTCGCCGATCCTCTCCTCCGAACTCCCCCGCCTCGACGACGGCAAACGCGGCGACGACCCACCAGCCTCCTCCCCATCACACTGGCCAACCTAACCAAGCTTGCGTCTACGCGACCGGCTGCTGCCATCTGGCTGACCGTGCTCAGGCAAGTCATCTCGCCTGCGCGAGGCTGCCAGCGCGGTCGCCATCGCAAGCCCTATGCCCAGCCTGGCCTCCGCAACACGGGACGCGGGGTTGCACGCCAGCTTGGCCTGCTGGTCGCTGCGTCGGCTGGCCTCCTCGCTGGCCAGCACTGCGTCAGCCCTCAGCTTCGTGAGCTCGGTGGCTTTGCATGGCCTACTCCAGTGCCCTCGGATGGTGCTATCAGCGTAGACAGCTCTGCTACATAGTCTACAGCGGATGTCACTCCTGTCGTGGACACAATCATGCTGGCGAATCGAAACTAATTGCGGCTGAGGGAGCGGGCGCGGCACTCGCGGCTCTTCCTCAGGGGGGGCGCCCACCTTTTTGAGCCCGAGGCCATGGGGCCAGCCCAGGCCACAGCATTAGCACGGCTGGCTGCCTCTGCAATCCTGCCCTCGAGCCCTTTTCCAAAGTTCGGGCTAACAGTGACAACGCGCAGAGCGACGGCGGCGAAATAATCAGCCCAAGCATTGTCCAGCCAAGCCAAGCCCCCCGCCCAAAGACTAGCCGCCTCCCCAAGCGTTTTGCGCGAAGGAGTCACAGCGAAACTGGGCGGGGCTCGACCTTTGACTGGCCACTTCTGCTCTAATGGCGCGGCAAATCTCAGCATGTCTAACAGAGGCCGACGCCTCGTCCCTGCTCCGACGGGCGCCCTCCTGCACAAACGAGAGGCGGTCGCTGACGATGCGAGCGACCGCGGGCGAGGCCGAAACAACTTGCAATCCCGCGTACCGGGCGGCCCTAGGAACCGATTGAATCCCTGTGAGCCTTCCAAAACTGGCCTTGGAGGGGCGGCCAGCAGGGTCCAGCTGCACGATGGCCCAGTCACATCGGGCCACTTCGGGCGCCTCCATGCTTTGGCCCGCCTCATCCGCGTAGACCGTGCCTTCCCAAGGGATAGGTGGGTCTCTCCATTCGAAGAACTGCTCAGGGGTCCTGCTAGGGCGCTCAGCAAGCGGCGGGAGCAGCGGGATTGCGTAAGCATGCTTAAGCGAATCAAATTACGTGGGCTCCACCGAACACATTACCCCGTTACGCAGCAGCTCGCCGCCTGTACCCTGCGCTCCCGCTCACGCGTTCTCTCATCGGGTGGCGGCATGATCTCCGCACCGAGCGACGCAGGGCAATCTAGCCAGCGGTGCCCTAAGGTCTCAGGCTTCTGCCCGCATGCCAGGCATGTGGGGGGCAGGCATAATCCTTGTTGATGCTTGCGTGTTCTCGTCACTTAGCCCCTGACCACAAACATTGCAACGTTCCCAACTCTGCCGCTTGCGATATCGCTCTCTGTCCCTGCGCGCAGGCCCGCAGCCCTCTGCGCCAAATATGTTCATCCGTTCTGCCAGGTCTACACTGCCCCAGCTTGAGCATCTGCCAGCGCTGCACCCCCCTCTAACAGATCTCGGACATCTCGAGGCGCCGATTGAATGAGAGAACTTCCCTGCCCTCATCAGTAACAAGATGATAAGCCGAAGACATTGTCCAGTCCACTCGACGTAGAGTCATCCAAAGGCTGAGAGAGGGCCCGCGGCTTTGGACCAACGTTCGCCTTTGCCCATGCTATTCTTCAAGACCTGACAAGCACTTGTAACCGTGTGAGAGACAGCTTCGTTTCCCACGAAATACAGGCATCTGTACGGCAAGTCTAGCGTGGCTTTGAAGATCGGATCGCATCGTGGGTTCTGCTGCATCATCAGAGCAGCGGTCAAAGAAGCCGCTGCCTTGGCACCTGCTCGCACCCCAGACAGTGCGCGCACCGTCCGCAGCGCATGTTCAGCGACGCCCATCACCGCTGCTCCATGTAGCGCCAGCGTTGCGAGCCCAGTAGCTTGTATCCGAGTCATCCGTCGAACACCTGCAGCCCGTTTACATATGTGTAACCTTCGCGCGCGCAGACGCAAAGCTGCAGCCCGCTCAGCTTCTCGTTGTCGCCGAGGTTGTACTGTGGTCAGCTCGCGCCCCAAGTTCCTCATCCATCGAAGCCGCTTGATGGATCGCCTCTGCACAGTTATCCTATACACCTCCTCTGCGTGCGCATCTGGCTACAAAGCATGACTT